GCTCGAATAAAATTACCTGTCAAGGTACCCGGGTAATTTTTTCCGGATTAATAACCGCGAAAAAATTCCCCACTAATAATCGGCGATTATTAGAAACTGTAGTGTAGCGAGCGTCTCCATCGTAGTAGGAAGAGTGATCAGTTTAAGTTCGGATCGCGTGCCACAGTCCCAGGTTCGATTCCCAGCCCAGGCTTTTTTCGAGCATTTTCCGCTTGCCAACAGTCACAGCGCACAACAGTTAAGCCCATACTCGCTAAATGATGGGCATGGGAGTACTCTAATATTTTAGCAGAATTCACGAACTTCACTCTTCCGAATGGTATTGTTTCGAGAGCTCTACTGTAGTCGTAGAGAAATAATTTCAACGAACGAGCACAGAAAATCTGAACCGCTCGCTCCGCAATTTTATCTACAAGCTACAGTACGTACCAATTTGATATGCAAATGTGTGTCATTTCAGAGGGCAAATTATAGTGAACAAGTTGTCGCTATCATCACAGTCCCAAACGGGTACTTTCATCACAACACATTTTCATAGCCATTGTTACATTGTTCATGCGATATAGTTCCAGACTGGTTCTCATTAATCTCAGAAAATAACACATATTCGCATATCAAGTTGACACACGCTGTATATGTGTGATACTCAATATCAACATCACATAATCGTCCATTGGAGTTTTGCCCGTTTAACGTGAAGTGGTGTGATACCGAGTGAAAAACCCGATATTCGCGCTATGCAGTGGTTTGTGGAATACGTCTTTTCACTAGTGTTTTTCATATCACGAGTGAAAACCCACCGAAAAACGACCCCTCCCATATTACACCAGTTTTATCCCTTCCTTTAACCCGGCGCTCCGTAGCTAAGACCAACACCTATTTAAAACTAGATTATAAGTAGTCGCGATAAACCCTACATCAAGTTCTTGTATAGTGCTACAAGAAGCCAACAAGCAACGACTCGTAGGGGCTTCACTCTTTCGATCGACCTACTGAAAATAAATTGTAGTCACAAAAGTTGCATAAAAATCAATAATCAAGAACGGCACGAATAGTATCCAAGGTTGCTCCCCCAAAGATACAAAACAGGCCCAAATATTACCTCCATCTCCAACACAGTAAACTGCACACTGTACGGTCTGCCGTTTTCCGCCAGCCATTTTCGCCACAACACCGGTAGTTTCCAATTCGGCACTACCTTATCGAAGACTAGATATAACCATAAATTCTGCAGAATTAATGAATACACTTCTATACCACACCGCGATGAACTTACTTCAGGGAAACATCCATAAACCTATAATGTTTCCGAGGAAAACTAATTTAGAATTTTCCACATTTTTCAATCAGTTTCCCATGTAAATGTCATCACATTAGCAACATTTTTCAGGGAGAACGTTATTTCTCAATGCTAAATGGGACCCTGAGCCACTTGAACACTATCGTCATCCCTCCCCACTTTTATCAATTGTAGCCTCGCAAGCTCAACCCTTTTCGAATCCTTCAACACCACCGCTCCGTCGTCGTCTATCATCAAAATGATCCTCTCTCACGCATACGGCAATGCTGTGGAAATTTGCACAATTTCAAGACCGGAGACGTAGGAAAAATTCCACAAATATTCCTCCAGTTTCTGAAAATCTTGCGGGTGCGCTCTTCTACCAGCGTTGGAATCTACTACTACTACTACTACTACTACTACTACTACTACTACTACTACTACTACTACTACTACTACTACTACTACTACTACTACTAATACTAATACTACCACTACTACTACTATTACTACTACTACTCCATTATAACTACCAATAAGCATCATAAGCCACTTCCAGAACCCGCTTGGTAACAACACTTCGACCCACATCCCAAACGGAGTCCCAACCGACAATGCGAGACTTTTCAACCCCCTACCAGCATGCCTGAATACAATACGACAAAACTCCGGCGGTAGATACAGAATATGTCACCAAATCGATCATCGAGTTCTCATCCCAATTCTCCCACCTATCTTGCTCAGTTTCCCCAGCGGTCGCTGCTTTCATGAAAAATATCAATTAAAACTGAAATAATACCTCAGTTATAATTGATATTTTTCATGGATATATTATATCCAATCCATGACCCTACATCGGACCGTCCGAATCGGACGACCATCGACATATTCATCCGAACGAAGAGAACACAGAAAGGTGGATCGCACAGAATAGAGATAGGATCTCTTTCACTAACCCCTTGAGATGAGGTTAGAGCTCCAACCTCACGAGCTTGAAAAAGAAAACCCAAGTATGTTTTACTAGTCCCTCAGTCTCCAAAGCAAAAGAACGAACCTCAAAAATCAGATTGAGTAGGATCATGTGTACTTACCTCAAGGGTGAGCCTGAGGAACTTGATTAATCCTACGCCTTCTTACCCGATAGTGAAACGATCTTACCTTGATTTAGTAAGTTTTGTACCGTCTCAAGGCAAGTAAGTAGTTAGTGATAGAGGCCCTAAACTCTGTACCATCCTAAGGTAAGTAGTTAGTGATAGAGGCCCTAAACTCTGTACCATCCTAAGGTAAGTAGTTAGTGATAGAGGCCCTAAACTCTGTACCATCCTAAGGTAAGTAGTTAGCGATAGAGGCCCTAAACTCTGTACCATCCTAAGGTAAGTAGTTAGTGATAGAGGCCCTAAACTCTGTACCATCCTAAGGTAAGTAGTTAGTGATAGAGGCCCTAAACTCTGTACCATCCTAAGGTAAGTAGTTAGCGATAGAGGCCCTAAACTCTGTACCATCCTTAGGTAAGTAGTTAGTGATAGAGGCCCTAAACTCTGTACCATCCTAAGGTAAGTAGTTAGTGATAGAGGCCCTAAACTCTGTACCATCCTAAGGTAAGTAGTTAGTGATAGAGGCGTCTGCCGTCTTGAGGTAAGTGAGTACTTAGCTAAAGAGGCCCCAAGTTGTTTAGCGTCTCAAGAATCTTGAGAGCTGGCTATCTACTCATCTATTGTGAGTCAAGATAGATGAGTAGATAGCCAGCCTCACCCAGCCAGCCTCAAACCTATGAGCCTCTGCTCAGCGAGAGCCGGCCGTTTCATTAATAGAAGACGAAGCGAGAATACTATAGCGAGCGGATTCCATTGGCAACTGCGGTGTACATAGACCCGTGCCGCAAGTGGACTTGTATTGTGGTGTAGACCATGAGTGTAAAGTCCATCAACAACCTCAGCAAGGTAAGCTAGAAACTCACGAATTCATATGGTGAGGAATGAACGGTGGTATTAGTGAGGTAAGCAGTTCATAATATGCTTCTTCATGAGCTCAAACGAGCTGTCAACTCTGGCTTCAGTGATCCTCTAACTATTTACACTTAACCAGGGGAGTTTTGATAGAGTTAGTCGACTAGATGGTGTGGAGAGGACCGAAGACTTGCAGGGCTCCCCCCTGAAGCTTCGGTCACGGGACAGGTGCCCGACTGAGTGGTGTCGTATCAACGACTCACGTCTCACACGGGTCTGTCCCGTCACCCAGTCCACTAAGATAAAAAAACTGTCAGTTACTAATAACTTTCCTTCGGAATCCTCGGATCATTGAAGCACCTGCGAGCGACCCAGCTCGCTCGCCCATCGAATCACTTCCTCTGGAGTTGACCCTAGCCTCTGGCGAGACTTTCCAGTAAATTTTGGAATTATTTTGCGATATATTTTTGTAGGGATCGCGCCCTACGCGCTCGCCCTTGTAATCGTTATCGTCTGATCACTTATATTCGCTCGCCATCGATCGCGCTATGCACGTATGCGCACTGTGTGATCATGAACTAAGGATAAGTAGAGTTACAACTCCCTTTTGATCCTTCTCACTCGGCTGCCCTTCTACGAAGGTCTGCCCTTGTTGTGAAGTTCGACTACGCTATCCACTGAAGTCTGGCTACTAGTTGTGTTGCCCAGTAACAGGCACAACATTCTGGTAGCAGCTCCTTGTTGATCGACGACGAGCCCAATGACGAATAATACTGGTGATAATCGCCCCCAGGTTGATGAAGCCGCCCCCTTGAGGATTAGTCTCTCGATGCCCCCTGCTTTCGATGGTATCTCCGGTAGCTTTAAGGATTGGCTAAGACGTTATGAACAATGTGCCCTTGCCGCCGGATGGTCCACTCAACAGCAGGGAGAACGCCTTGGTCTGTACTTGAAGGAACCCTTTCTCTCTGGTTGGGATGCTTATGCTAAGAAGGTGAACTTCGAGGAAGACAAGAAGTCCCTCCTGAAGATATTTGATCATGTCCGTCCCCATCAAGCCCTAAAACAGTTCCAAGAGCTACGCTGGTCCAAGGGTCAGCACCCCGCTCTCTATGCTGCAGCTCTACAACGACACCTCAACCGGTACTATACCAAGGAGAAGTTCCCTGAGCTCTCTGAAGCGGACAGGACTAAGAACATGGAGGAGATGATCATCGACCGACTGAAAGCAGATCTACCCCCCATGGTCCGGTTCCAGCTCCTCTTGAAAGAGCCTAAGAACCTCAAGGAGGCCTGTATAATGTGTGACAGCGTTCTTGCCCTTGACGACGCTAACTCCAACACCATGGTCGAGACACCGGCTAAGGTTGCCACAGCCGCTGGTGTTTTCGGTAGCCAACCGGCCGATGACTCTACGGATGCGCTCACGAAAGCTGATGCCAAGCGTATCGAACAGAAGCTCGACAGGATTTTGGGTGGTATGAGACGCAAGAGTG